AGAAGTCCAGATAACTCACGAAATGTACCTATAAATGTCGTTCCATTATCGGAATAGATGGTTCGCGGTTTACCTCTACGAGACGTAAATCTATTCAGAGCTGCTATAAAGGCTTCCTTCGTCAGGTCCGAAACAAGCTCAAGATGCAAGGCCTTGCTAAACAAAACCCCCCTCCTCTCCCCCTCAACTTCTGTTGCTAAACAAACAAACACACAAATATAAGATTTTATATGTTTACATCCCCTTCCCTTGTGGTTGGCTATCATCACTGGCCCAGCATAATCTACACCCGTGTCAAGAAAGGGAAATTCTAAATGCGCACGCTGTTCAGGTAAATTACCCATAACAGGGTGAAGTGTTTTTCCCTTAAGCCTACAACATTTCACACATGATCGGACAGTACGTTTAGCTAGATTTGTGCCTCCTAAAACCCAATAATTTTGTCTCACTGTAGCCAGCAACAGTTGAGGACCCGAATGTAAATACTTAATATGTAGCATTATTCATATTATATCTATATTATATCTATATTATATCTTCAGCACCTTATCTAGCTACACGATGTTTGTATCAGTTAGGTCAGGAGTCTACAAATCCAGATATAAAACGCGCAATTTGTCAGGATTTTTACGTTGATGATTTTTTATCTGGTCACAGAACTGTAGAATAAGTAATTTCACTTTGTCAGGGAGTAAGTAAGGTCTTAAAGTCAGCGCAGTTAAATTTGCGTAAATGGTATTCTAACAATAGCAAAATTTTAGTAGCGATATCCAGTGAGATTAATTTATCTGAATCTGTAGATCTTAGTAATGACAGTCTTTCTAAAACATTAGGTTTAAATTGGATATGCTCTGCGGATACTCTAACATTTCCAATTTCTATACAACTAAATGACGTTATCACCAAACGTTCTATTTTATCGACAATTGCCCAAATATTCGATCCCCTCGGCCTAGTTATGCCTAGTATTGTAGAAGCTAAATTATTAATGCAACAATTGTGGCAAAAAAAATGTAGTTGGGATGAGCCAGTTCCAGCTCATATTAAAAAGGCTTGGTCAGATTTTGCTTCATCATTACCAACGTTAAATAGCTTAAATATACCAAGGTGTGTTGCTTCTCAAGCACCAATTAATATACAACTGCATATATTTACAGACGCGTCGGAGAAGGCTTACGGCGCGTGCGTATATGTTAGATGCTTAGACGTTGATGATACAGTTACTACACGCCTTCTTACTTCCAAGGGTAAGGTAGCCCCTTTGAAAACGGTCAGTATTCCTCGATTAGAGCTTTGCAGTGTACTACTGGGAGTGAGGCTTGGCATCAAGGTATTAGAATCTTTAACACTTACCATTAATAAGTGTATATTGTGGTCCGACTCCACGATCGTATTGGGTTGGCTCAGAACTACTCCAAGCCAACTGAAGCCGTTTGTGTGTCATCGTGTTTCAGAGATACAGGAAGGTTTTTGTAATCATGAATGGCGCCATGTTTCCTCAAAGAACAATCCCGCAGATCTCGTTTCACGAGGTTTGAGAGCTGATATGCTAGGTAAATCATCTTTGTGGTGGTCAGGGCCTTCCTTCCTTCAATTAAATCCAGCAAATTGGCCAGTCCAACCTAAGCAGGAATTACATCCTTCTAATTTACCAGAAATGATTAAATGTCCTTCACGTGGTTAAAGAAATAATTTTAAAATTGATCACAAAAATTTCCACATTTTCAAAATTACAACGTATTACTTCGTTTATATTTAGATTTATAAATAACTGTCGCTATAAATCAAAGAGAATAAGCGGTAACGTAACAATTGCTGAGCTTACTAACGCTACTAATTTCCTGTTAAGGTTTGCTCAGGAGGAATCCTTTCAAGAGGAATACCAGTTGCTCATCACTAACCAAAAATTATCTCGTAAAAACAGACTTTTACCTCTATCACCCTTCATTGACAATAATAAACTTATTAGAGTTGGTGGGAGACTTTCTAATACCTATTATGACTACAATGTCAAACATCCTATTTTATTGAGCGCCAAGCATCCTTTATGCCGATCTCTCTTTGTAATGCTACACATTAAGTATTTACATTCGGGTCCTCAACTGTTGCTGGCTACAGTGAGACAAAATTATTGGGTTTTAGGAGGCACAAATCTAGCTAAAGGTACTGTCCGATCATGTGTGAAATGTTGTAGGCTTAAGGGAAAAACACTTCAACCTGTTATGGGTAATTTACCTGAACAGCGTGCGCATTTAGAATTTCCCTTTCTTGACACGGGTGTAGATTATGCTGGGCCAGTGATGATAGCCAACCACAAGGGAAGGGGATGTAAACATATAAAATCTTATATTTGTGTGTTTGTTTAGCAACAAAGGCCTTGCATCTTGAGCTTGTTTCGGACCTGACGAAGGAAGCCTTTATAGCAGCTCTGAATAGATTTACGTCTCGTAGAGGTAAACCGCGAACCATCTATTCCGATAATGGAACGACATTTATAGGTACATTTCGTGAGTTATCTGGACTTCTTAAACAGCTTTCACCTGCAGACATGACTGAGCAAGGTATTAATTTCACTTTTATTCCCGCATATACCCCTCATTTTGGCGGCTTGTGGGAGTCGGCTGTTAAATCTATAAAACACCACCTCCGACGTGTTTTAAATCTGACATTCCTAGATTACGAAGAAATGAACAGTTTATTAATTCAAGTAGAAGCGATATTAAATTCCCGCCCACTCACTCCTTTATCTAATGACCCCTCAGATCTTTATCCCTTGACTCCAGCCCATCTCCTTATTGGACGGTCTCTTATTTTTGCACCAGAATCACAGATCAGCACCAAAAAAATATCATCCCTCGCAAGATTTCACAGAATCCAACTGTTAAAACAACATTTCTGGAACCGATTTTCTAATGAGTATATCACTTTACTTCAGCAGAAGACAAAATGGATGCAGTCACATGATACACTTAAGGAAGGAACACTTGTCATCATAAAAGACAAGTCCAATCCACCCATCATGTGGCTACTTGGGAGAGTTCTTCGAGTGCTGCCTGGAAGGGATGGAGTTGCCAGAGTCGCTGACATCCGTACCAGGAAGGGAATAATCAGGCGAGCCTTCAACACAATATGCCCCTTGCCGACATCAAACATTGAAGATGACTCTTCAACGCCGGGAGTATATGGTGAAGACAAGGTTGTGCGAGACGTTACTGCATAAACATGCGTCACGTAGTTTAGCAGCGGCAGGAGGGGGGAGTGGTACGGAAGAGACGGTAGCGGTGGGAGCGGTTCGCCGGTCGCACAGAACGAGACAGTTTAGATAACGATCGCACGGTTACATTGTCGGGTTATCCCTGTAACACGAATAAAACTAATTCAGTACAGTCCAAGTTTAATTTATTATCTTCAGGGTAGGCAGTACTCCCTATCACAAGGTGTACAGGGCATTGTCCCCACCAACCTTGCTTAGCAAAACTATAAACCATAAATTATATTCAACAAAGCTTTATGTGCTTGGATGAAAATATTTCTAAATCATGAAGGAAATGGCAGGATCTTGATAACGCTGAGTAGTGGCAGCGAAAAAGAATTCACTACCTCCTACCAAATAATATAATAATATACTCATTAGCTCTAAGACCCCATACCATCCCGTGAGTATCGTAAAAGACGACAGAGAGTAATAAAACGTGAGATAGTATCTTCATGATAACAGCTCAAAATAACAAAAAATACGGTTGCCAAATCACTTGCTAAGAGTGGGAACTATGGCAAATGTTCCCCCTACGTTCAGCAGTGGACATTTGATTGGCAATATTTAATTAATGTATGATGGATAATATCTTGAGGGGACAGAGAGAAAACGGCTAATACGTTCGTAATCGACTTATTGGTAGTTGTGATCTACCGACAAAATAGAAGGTTGACCGCGGTCGTACCAGTGTTATATCACTATACTTTATGTGGTAAAGCCACGCTGCAGCAATAATAGTGGTAGTATGAATGGGTTGGCTCGACCGAGGGGGGCTACGCTCTCTTATAATACCAGCGTATGGGGTTTACCATAGTTGAATTTTTTAAAATACAACTAGAGACTTTAAAACGACAACATTTTATCTCAAAATGTCGCTATATTGCTTTTAGAACATTAAGTGCATTTGTGCATTATCTAGTATCATAACGGTAATTATCAGCCCAACAAACTGATATTCAGGAAGCTGATGACAGTAAAGTGTAATTAAAGTAACGATAAGAACAACGACAAGAATAATAGCTTTTCTAACAATTGATTCAACATTTTTTGCACATAATATAGGCACGTTGTAGCATATTACGGCACAGCACGAATGGGTCCACTTTACCGGGAAAGGCACTCGCAATACAAGGGCATAATACTGCTGTTTCTGTTGAGGTGAGGCTAGAGAACTGGTGGATTTTGTTTCGTTTGTGAGCTTTACTTCAATAAAGCTCCTGATGATATTGATCGTTCATAATGATGAACCTTCATAACTAAAAACCAGATGGATTACATTGACCAGATAATCATATAACAGTCGGCAAATATGTGTTTCTGTCATGTACATCTGATGGCTTTTCAGAATTCACTTAGTGTACCTGTTAACTTAATGATGATAATTTCAGATTAATTTCATAGGAAAAGGATAGAGCTAACATACTTTGCAAAACAACCTCATAAATAACCATTTGATCATACGTCAACAGAGCTCCATAATTTGGTGCCCGCACATAATACTTTGATAAAATTATTATCGATACCCTATTAAGATTATATTTGACATTACTTGGTTGAAAAAAGTTATAAGACTTTATGAGATATAATTAATTATAATAAATGCATTAGATTTTGTATAAGAATCACACAATTGCTATTGCGAAAATGCCCCACAGAAGTAGGGTTGTTAAGCTTTGTCTATTATTCTTTCACATAAGACAAACTAAAATATATACAATATTACATAAAAGGGCATTTAACTCACCTCGTTAGCGGCACCGTGACGTAATACGTATAGAAGAATATGGTGAGGACGGAGAGCAGCATGACGCCAGCGACGCACTTCCTTACGTTTATATGGCTCGCCAGCCAGAAGCAGCAGCGCGGTGCCGGCGTCTTGTACGCGTGCACTTGCGCGTAGCCACCGCACTCCAATAGTGGAGTGCGTGCGCCGCGACCATCACCCGCCATGCTTAGCAACACACCACTATAATATATACACTACACAGCAACACTTAGGCCTCTATAAGATCACTGTACAAAGTTTCTATCTGGGTACTCTGACGGCTGGGTTTGTCCTTGGCGGTGGTGCTTTCTGTCGCCACTTGCCGTGTTTCCACATTTCATAGTGTCGCGGAGCGGTATCGCGCGCATGCGCTGTTAGCCTGGTAGCGCGGGAGCCGCGATTGACGGCCATCTCGTGCCGACAAACGCTTCCGTTTCCGGTTTAAAATGGCCGCCGACGCATAACTGCGGGTTGTGCTCATCACGGCGGCGTGATGCACTCCCGGTGTTATAGTTCACGTCATCCGTGCGCGACTCGAATTAGTACATCCGGACGATACTCTCATCGGCGTTTTCTGAAAACAAAAGAAACGTGTTATTTTCGATTTTCCATTACCAGTGTTCTAGCATTCAAATACATAAGACATTGCTTTTTTTTCGACATCGCCTTTATCTTAATACGATTTTGAAAGTACGCCTCCCAAATATTAGGAGTATTTATCACTTGGCAGACGGTTTCGCGGAAGCAATGCAGCGGAGCTAGACAAGTTTCCATAATCGCTAACGATTTGAGATTTGCTTTATTCATTCTAGTAGTTTTATTTTTATATTTTTCTACTAGTGTTAGCAGAAAAAAATTGCTACTTTTTGTTATTTTGACGCCTAAGACAGTCAAATACTTAGATTATATTTTTATATTATATTATTACATAGTATCTCCTCTTTTCTTTTTTAATACGGACAGCATTCATATTGTAGCTAATTTTGGCCTAATGTTAGAGGAGAACCTTCGTCAAGTCGTTGACAACGCTCAATATAACTTACTAATAAAAAATCATCCGGGAAATATAGCGCCGAGATTTAAATTAATTAAGTTATACGAAAGCAATACAACAATCGTTAAACAAAAACTTCCTCAAAATCGTCTGAAACTTCAAGTTTGAAATTCGGTTTCTGGTTTTTGCCCAATAACTTTTACAAAGAGCTATTCTTTTGACTCGGAGCAAACAAGGTAGTCTTGGGCGTTAACTAGGGTATGTTTTTTTTATTAAATTTAAAACCACTACGCCAACTTAAACAAATTGATGTTTACAATGTTTTAATAAAAACGCTGATTCTTGAAAATCTCAAGAAAACTTTACTTTACTTTTCTGAAACAATTCATTGTGTAATGGAAATGTAAAATAAATTTGTTCGAGAATGGGAATATAATGACAGCAAAATAATACATGGCAACGTGATAACGATTTATACAGAGGAAAAGGAGATAGAAAAAATATCAATATGTCCCAACTAATTCTCGGAATCGTTGAGTCGCAAACACCTCGAATGGCAAAGGCCACAAAGTCGACCTTAGCTTCTCAAGAATAAGTATTTCCAACAAAATACATCTTTACGTTCCTAAAACAAATTCATTCAAGTGTGAAATTGGAGGAGCGAACCTCAAAATTCTAGATTAAACTTAATTAAAAGTAGAGTAATGAATACGAAATCCGATGAAACAATCAAGTATTGTTTCAGATCTATATACTGTAGCACGATTAAAGTGTGGTTGTACAACATTTCGATTTCGGATCTCATTATTCAAGTAAATTAAAAGTAAGTGAAGAGAAATTTTAATGTGAAACGTAAATAAATACGAGCGTTATAGTGACTTTTATATTGCCCTAGAAGCGTAAAGCTTTCAAAGTGCTACGAAATTCACCACGCAATACAGTTTAAGTGAAACTCGCCTCCTGACTAATGTATGATTCCATTATTCGTACTTTAATACGCCTAAATAAATCTAGAATACCTGCAAAATATAGGAATGGAAAAATACGCGGAAAAATTTGTTTCGAGTACGCGTCTATGTTTTCACATCGATAGGTATTTTAGGTAGACACAGAAAACTGTATTCGGTAACGAAAAGGGAGCTTTCGAGAGCTCGTTTCGAGGCGGTAGTGGAAGTTAAATGCGTCCGGAATCCGTGATTGTACGACCCTTTGAATATTAACTACCAGATGACCCGCCAGTAACCGGTGCACGGTTTTACGCCTCGAAAGGTTAATTCCGACTACCGGCAGCTACCTTTTACAGACAGCAATTAAAGTGGCTTTAATGAAAACAAAATATGAGATCTAAGTAGTAGACGAGAGCACGGTAATTAAGTTTTAATTTGATCAAAAAAAATTGGTTGACCCTACAGGCCATCCTTGGAACTTCCCACTAATTTTAAATGCAAAGCGCTCAAAATTTCACCAAATTATGTTGTGAAATCTCGAAGTAATGTTAAAAAAAATGTTTTTCTTTTTCTAATTATTTCTCCTTCGATATCTCACGAACGAATGAACCAATTTTTATTTTCTAAACGGCATTCGACGTCATTTTTTGAAGTTAAGGGCTGATTAGTTTTTGAAATCGATCGGTAAAGCCGTTTAAAAGTTATTCGAAAAAAACAGTTTTTCAAAATTTTTATTTTTGAGATTTCTCAAAATCTACTTGTCTGAATAAGTTCATATTATCACCAAATCTATTTTACATTGAGACCTTTAGATCTTTAAACCGCATCTTAATCGACGTAGAAATTCAAAAGTTACGTTCTTAAGTCACGCACTCACGCACGCACGCACGCACGCACGCACGCACGCACGCACGCACGCACGCACGCACGCACGCACGCACGCACGCACTCACAAACACACACACACACACACACACACACACACACACACACACACACACACACACACACACACACACACACACACACACACACACAAACACACACAAACACACACAAACACACACAAACACACACAAACACACACAAACACACGCACGCGATCCACACGCACGCACGAACACGCACGCACGCACGAACACACACATCCATACGGCCGTCCACGTGAAATTAGTCAGAAAAACTTCATGGGATCTCAAAACGTCGAGATCTGATGAAAACTCGATTTTCGAAAATTGGGGTGAAACCAATAATACATACATAAACACTCACGCCTATCACCCAGAGGGGTAGGCAGAGACTACAGACTTCCATTTGGCACGATCCTGACACACCTCTCTCGCTTCCTTCACATCCATACACCTCCGCATACATGCTCGTCGGTTAAGGGTACTCCTAATTTGGCCCGTTTTCAATAAATCGCCAATTTGGTCGATAAATTTTCGCCTAGGACGTCCCTTTCCGACTCTGCCATTCACTTCTCCAACATAAATTTTCTTTGTCACTCTTTCCTCATTCATTCTTTCCACATGACCAAACCACCGAAGCATTCCTTTCTTAATCCTGGTCACAACATCATCTTGCAAACTACACTCTTATCTTATTACACAATTTCTTACCCTGTCATTAAGATTCAGCCCTAACATACTCCTTAACGACCGCATTTCTACTGCGTTCATTCTACTCTCGTGCTTCTTCTGCCACACCCAACTTTCACTACCATACGTTAAAGTAGGGACCAACACAGCATTGTGAATTGCCATACGTGCCTTTTTCGACACATTTTGACTCTTCACAATAGAGTGCAGGGCCCCATTTACTCTATTTCCCGCATTCACTCGTCGTTCTATATCCTTATCATATCTCCCATCCCTGCTAAATACGCAGCCCAAATATACAAACTCATCTACTTGCTCGATCAACTCCCCTTCTATTCTTATTTCACAAATCGTTTTACTTTCTTCTTTTTCAAAAACCATAACCTTCGTCTTACTTGCGTTCACTTTCATAACCCTTTCTTGAAACCAATAACTTTTCTATTTTTGAAAATTTTCAATTTTCTTAGCTGGAAGTTAAAAATATTAGATCATCAATTAAAGTAGTTAATTAAACGGAAAAAACGTTTCCTTTTAGGTTAGTTGTAGAACGGGAAACACGAAAATATATTAGAAATATAACATAATTTTCTAATACTGTTTAAAGAATCAGACCTGTTTAATTATTATCATCATTACAGCCCTTCACAAGTTCACTACTGAACAAAAGCTATCTACATCCATCGATTTTTTGCAAGTCTTACTAGGAATTTACTACACGCAGTTGGGAAATCCTCATGGATACCTTCGGCTGCGGGGGCAACAGTAAGGTTATGCCGGATTTCTACCGGCTAAAACCCCGCGGTAGTCACCATCAGCGTATATGATGGGTCCCGGGATCCGGAACGCTACCGGGGCCCCCCTCTAGCTTCGCTTTAATAAAGCACGTCCCGGGGCAGTCCTTACTGTCCCCAGCACCCTTGCAGTGCTGGTTAAAAGAATTTTCAAGAAAGTTATTTTATATTTAAAAGGGGGCTAAAGAGCATGTGGCTCACCTGATAGTAAGTTACTACCGCCGCCCATAAAAAACTGCAACACTAGACTGATAGAAAGAGACAGGTAGTAGAGAGATCATTACTACTTAAGTAAGCGATACTAAATGATTGTACGGAAGTCGTAAACAATTTATTTAAACGTATTTATAGAGAGTTATATATAAATAGTTGACTTTCTTTTCTTGCATTTTTATTGTACAGATAAATCTATTTTTACGAAAGGAGAACATTTTGTACCCTTTTTTATAAGCATATTGCGCGCACGGAGATGTTTCAGATTTGGCATAGTGATAGTTTGTGTGGAGAAGGAGTGTAGATAACTAAAACGTATTTGTATACTATTTTCATATCATTACAGCCTTTCACGAGTCCACTGCTGAACATTGGCCTAAAATTACGGCACATCTTCTCGTCAGGTATATCTTAAAACGAGGATGGATTTGAGACGTGGACCTTCACTGCTGGCCGTATGAAGAAGCTCAAGGCCGCTTAGCGACCTATGGAGAGGGTTTTGCTCGGGGTTTCTTTGTGCGATATTTTATTGTATACTTATTTGTAAATGCATTTCATTGCCAAACACATAATACTCAAGGAGTATATATAATCACTACGTTTTAACAATATTCTATGCTCAAACAGTCTCACAGAGTCTCGAAAATCTTAGTAGCTGCTGCTGCAAGAGCTGCTTTACATTTTTAAATGTGATACGTCGCGGCAGTACAATAGGTGCATTGGCGAATGTTATTATCCGCTAAGATAATTGGTCGTTATGCAGTATCAAAACACAATGCTCTCATGGAGAAACTTATTATAACTTCGTCCGTCCGCCACACCACGCTTCTGCGCCCTTGTTCGGAAAATCGCATAACAAAGGCGTAGTTTACACGAAAATCGTATAATTTGACGATCATAAAATATATCTCTGCAATACTGCATTGAATCAGGATAGGGACATACGGTCCAAAACGACGGCAAGAATCCATATGTCGATTGCTATTGAACTGCCGAGGGTAGCACATAATTTGAGGAATTACGCTACGTTT